TTTAATCACACATTTTCCAAAAAACCACTATTTAATACATTCTACCACGAAAAGGGGGCTCAAATAGGGGCAAAAAATTGAACTATTGGTTCCATGATCGTGTAAAGTACTCATTATTTTTAAAATATATTTTTTCTCTCTTATTTTTTAATCACATATTTTTCAATAAAATAATATTATCTGCAAATTCATATATTTTTCTTATTTTTAATCACATTTTTGAATAAAATATTATTTCGAAATATATTTTGGACAAAAAATAGGGCTCAAGCTGGTGCTTAATTAGTTGTCACAGATATATTCACCATGAAAATTTATCATCCCATCCCAGTTCTAAAATTTTCCCTTCTCTTCAAAATATTATTCTCCCATTGTAGCGAGTAAAATAAATAATCCAACTGGAAATGGCGCTAATGATACTCCACCCCTCATCATCTTCATCTCTTACCATCAAGAAATCCCGACTCCTCCTCCACACATCATCCCATTCCCATCCCAAGACCGCTAATTTTTCTATCAAATCCGAACAAGATTCCTCCTCAAACCAACCTACAGAACAAACCCCTCCCAATCCCAAGAAAGCCAACAATTTATCATCTGGTTCTGGATTTGGCTCTGCATCTGCATCGTCCACAGTGTCCTCTTCCAAGAGGAAACAGCAGAAGGGAAAAAGAGAAAGGGCCTCCATAATTCGTAGAGAACCGCTGGAAAAACCCAAGTTTGTTGCAACTCCACAAGAGGAAGCGAGGAGCGAAGAGCTGAGGAAGAATGAGGGTGCTTTTCTTCTTGCTTGGTTGGGACTCGGCGCAATTATTCTTGTCGAGGGTATTGTTCTTGCTGCCTCAGGTGGGTTTGATTGTAGCACTTGCCTTTCCTTTAATGCATTTTGAAATTCATCACAGTATTTTGTTGTTAATAGTTGTTAGTATGACTCGTTTGCTAGTTTATCGAAGACAAAATTTAAAGGCTTAAGCTGAAGCTTTTAGACGGGATTGTTTAACACAGTATTGGAGGATCCAAAGGTCCATTGGCTTATAAAACTCTTGCAGCTGTCCAGGTGTTAAGGATTCGATGTAAAAAGGGAATCTGGTCTACAGGGGCTCCAAATTTTAATAAATTAATACGTCAGTTCTCTAAAATTTTAAGCTTTTAAACAAGGTGGTTCCGTGTTTACTTGTGAGCAGCGTCAGATGAAGCCTTAAGAAATTCTGTCATGCTGATTACATTCTATAATTACTTTTAAGACAGGTATTATGTTGCATACATTTAGTACCAAGTAATAATATTGTTTCTGACATGATCAATATGACAAACTCAGCTGTATCAATATGTAATGGAATTTCGGGTTCAATACCGCTGCCTCAACTGAACAATTCTATGAGAATTGAAGCAGGATAGACTGGAGCTTCACAATATGCTTGGAATTTCTGTGAATAATTATAATTATTATATTATTTGCTGCCTGACCATGATATTGATACAACATGATAAATAATGACTTTTGGAAGGAACAGTAAGTATCATTTGTCCCTATACTATCTAGAATTCCATTGGAAAAACCATGTCAGGCTGGCCTGTTATCTCTCTGTAAACGTAATTCTTGTGATTCTTAATGTTAGAAGTACTGGCAACTTGAAGATTAGCATATTATTACTCGAGACTATAACTCACTGCTTTGTGCTTACCTATAGTTTCAATCATGTGACTGGCCTACTGTCTATGTTGCAGTTATAAATAATTCCTTCATGTTGAAGATATTTTAGCTTAAAAATTGTAGTATGTTTCCTTTTTCTGAGATTATATCTTCTTGTAATACGAGGAAAGAAATATAAGTCATTTTGCATTGCATATATATGATGCATGTCGTTTTAGTGCTGTGAATTTGCAGATTCTGATATATCCATTTACTACTTGCAGGCTTTTTACCAGAAGAATGGGATAAGTTCTTTGTGAAGTATCTTTACCCTTCTTTTACTCCAACAGTGTTCTTGTTTGTGGCCGGTACAGTTGCCTATGGAGTTTTGAAGTACTTGCAAAATGAGCAATTTAACCGTGAAAACTGATCTTATGGTATCAAATATGAGTTAGAGGGGTTCTAGCATAATTTGCAAGGTCTCATTTGTTCTGTCCAATGCTTTTTATCCCTGTGACCAAACAAATATGTATAATGGAAATACTAAAATTCTTATTCAGAAAAATGCAGAAACAATATTATTCTCTTCCCCCACCTCACTATGAATGATTTCAAATATCTTGTGAATGCTTTTGCATCAGTTACTTGTACTTTTGCAATTTCCTTTATGAAGCTGTTATACTTAGAATCTCTGTACATGCTAAGTATAGTAGCATCTATGTACCGCATGACCTCGTTGTACCTGTTTTATTGGTGTCTTCATTTATTGTGATTGCACCTGTGATCCCCTAAAGCCTGAAGTGGACATCTCATGTTGGTCCTGAAATTGGATTATTTGGAGAATGGTTGTGGTGGGATTTACAGAGGTGAATAATATTTAACTCTGAAGCCCGTCATTATCTTTGCTTGATTTTGAGAATTAGGAGTACTTAGTTCATTCTATAGTATCTTTTGCCTTTTTATAAGAATCACACGTGAGCTACTGTATAAGCTCGACTCTGCTATAAAAAATCAATTAATTTGGGTATCAGTGTTTACTCTAAGCTCAGGGCACCCACGTGTGGAATATTCTTTTTTTGAATTGTAAAGGTTATCAAAACTGAAATGTAAATGAGATGAGATGAAACTTTTAACTAAAATTGCTTTAGGATAAGTGTTGAGTTTTCATTAACCCAAGGGTGCTGGAAAATATTTATTCCGAAAGTATTCACATGACCTATACATAACTGAATTTTCTTGTCTATCTCGTCATCTTAATCACTTAAATTCTTGCCACAACTTTCTGGATTTGAGGTCTTGCTTATTGCACATCTTCATCTCATGATTAGAGCTTCATAATATTTAATTATTTTTCCTTGCTGTTTACCATATGTAATATCCCACCGTAAGGCCAGTTATATGCTTTAGAATTGAGAAATCAAGCCACGCAACAAATGACAGATAGCTTGACAGTGTAAAGCTTGCTAATTGTAAATGAAAGATCCTTAGTAGATGGTGGCAGGAAATATGCTTGTCTGGCATTTTCATAACTTGTACAGCTGTTATGATGCAGCACTCACAAGTATGAGATTTAGGGGGGAACACCAACAAGCAAGATGGTACCAAATGAGGATATATAAAGGGAAAGACTACTTGGATGATTGGGATATATTTTCCCAAAGCAAAAGAAACTCTCATTCATGAGAATGTCGCGATTGCAGTACAACAAATTTGAAGGAGAGGTAGATCAAAATTAATGTGGCTTGATTTAGTTGCAACAAGTTTGATTTTGTTGGACCTTTAGGTGGATGTCGCGTGTGGATTATACGACATGGTGAAAAAATAATTCATGTAGCCGACCCCAATTTTATTAGGACTAAGTTAGCTTGTTATATTGTTAACAGAAAGAGGAGATGATAGCATGTCCTTTCTTTCGCTGTTAATTCTGCCTGGATCTGGGAGCACATTTTGAGGAACATGATCTGCAATATCGTTTGATTCAGGTATAATTTTCTGATCTTTCATACGTTTGATCCTGGTGTCTTCATTTTCTGATCTTTCATACGTTAGAATTCCCTAGCGTTGTAAATTTTTTGCAGTTGTTGAGGAATGCAGCAGCAATTGGTTTATCATTTTTAATTCAGGGACTAATCACATACGTATCTTGTGAACTTTATATAGCTCTTCTTTGTAGATGAGATGAACCATCTCTCTGGTGTTTCTTATCTTGCTAACAAAAAGCAAATTTATTAGAAAAGTGGAAGGTGCATTTCTTGATAAGACTGAATTCAACTAGTTGGGGTAGGCTACGTGATATTTGGAATCATGGAGAATTTTCTTTGTTTCTGCATTTCAGTTTCTCATTTAAACGTAGTTTCTAGGGAATAGCCAGTGGTGTTCTGTTGAGCTTGAATCCATCTGAAATGGCACATTATTACTTTTTGTTTCTTTTTTCCTCGAGCTCATGTTTTTGGACACTAAATATATTACTACTACTACTCAGAACTAAAGACTGCCTACTTTTATCTGTTGGCTTCGGGATGTCAGTTCCCTCGAGTAATTCATTTACAAGTAAAACTATCACATTTTCAGAATCATACGTCATATAGAGCTGTTTAGCTTCACATTCCAGAAGAAAAGATTATGTCAATAAGTGTTCTCTGTTCTGCTTAGGAGAGCATGCAACTGCATTATTGATAAGCTATCTGAGTAAACTCTTAAAATGTTTGATATAAATGCTTATTTTGTCCTCTTTTCTATTAAGCTTGTTTTGCCAGCCTCTATGGGTCGTTTTCACCAAGCGTGACTGCAAAATCAGAGATGACCGTGGATGTAACTGTTAAGAGGTCTCGAATATTTTCAGCTGACCAATTCTACCCCCTCTACTGGTACATATTGCAACTTCCTTTCTGGGTTGAGAGACTCTGAATATGATGAAATTCTACAGTTGCATATGGTGATATCGGAATTGATGCACTTCAGTTCATAATATTTCTGTATATGGTGTATTATCCTTTAGTTGAAGTCAATTATGTGATATCTATCATAGAATGATATCTTGAAAATTGGACAAGAATGCTGAGTTCTATCTCTACTTTTGACACTTCTTTCTTAGGCACAATTTATATTTTGCTTCTCATTCATTTAGATTCAGTCTGATTTGAGCCTCTTTTGAGCTGCAAAAATATATAGGATGCAGGTCCTGTCCATGTATCCTTCTTCAAATTAACTTACATTTTACCCATTACAACTACAGTTTTAGTACCATTCAAATCCATCATAATCATTCAACATTGTAAATACTAAAACCTAGTTAATCTAACAATTTGTCTCAATTATTCGTTTCAGGCAGGTTTCGTGAGTCGGTCACAACTTAAATGAGAGTTTTAAACACTGTTCGGACTGACACAGCTTAACAAACTAGTGTTCTATGAGATGTAATCAATTATAGAAATAAATAAGATGGAACTGTTGGAATGTGGAAGTAGAATTACCCAAAATTTTATATTAAAAAAATCTTTAATTTAAGAAACAAGATCGTCTTGATGTTCACGTGTATATTATACCAAGATAAAGGATTTGAATCTTTACCTAAATTCGATGGTAAGTTCCTGAATTAATTCTGAATTACGAACTTCCAGCTTCTTGGATCAAGAGCTTTCAGCTTTTAATTTTAAGAACTTGATGCTTCATTCTCCGAAGTCAATACTACATCAGTGGGTTGGCACTTTTTTTAATTAAATCAAAAAATTAATTATTGGATTGGATAATTGAATAAAGTAAGAAAATAATTCTCTTTTTCTCTCTCCAAATTTAAAAACTATGGAATTATGTATTGTTATTGTTATAGGATTTCTATGTGTTAATTATTGGACTCTAGTCACACCAAGAAACCACGCTAAGTCTTCAACCAATCAACACCCAACAAAGCGACTCGACCCACAACTCTCACACTCCGATTGCCA